GGAAAGCACATGCACAACTATCCCAGTGCTGTAGAGAAGCACTGCTTTCTGCTGAGACACAAAGCAAGCAGAAAGAGCACCTCCTCGGCTGTCTTACTGACAGCTAGAAAGATGCAACCTAGCATCTGTTATAAAAGTGCCCATCTTTGGTACAATTTACACTTTTCAGAATTATGCTTGCAGCTTAAGCTTCAGTCCTTATCCAGTTTTGGTTCAGCCCTGTAAGAATAACATCCTTATGGACAAACACATGTCTGTAACTAACTTTCCTTATTTTAAAAAAAAAAAAAATATCTGCCGTATGGGAGAAATTCAATGGTGGGGGTACCCTTTGAATCTTGGACTCACCGCATTCCCTCCTTCCCTGATGGCAGCGATTCTTTCACTATCTTATCTTCTATTTCTATAGTCTCTTCTCAAGGACATGGGGCTCCTTCTTGTGTCCCACCCTTTGTCAAGTTTGTCAAACGTAGAAAAAATACATGAGACAAAATAGTCCCTACTTTGACTTATGTTTTAAAAAGAAAATGATCCGAAAAGAAAAACTGATTCTGAAAGATGGAGAGAAGAAAAAACAATATGAGAAAGGTAAGTTGAAGGTCACAAAATCACTTTGTCTGTTATTTAGACATGCTAAAACTAAACTTATTTTTTCAATTGATATTTAAACATTACAAAAATGTAATATAGGTTGTTTTTCTAAAATTAGAAACCCATATTACAGTACATGATTGGCCCAACGTTTGCCATAACAACAACTTTAACCCATAGCTGATATTTGGTAGTCTTTAATATAATCAATACAACTTTAATACCAAACTACCCACTAGTTGCATTAAGATCTTTAGTTTGAAAGTTATGATTCAAGGGCTTTGTCTTAAAGGAAAATTTCAAGCACCATAATGACCACAGATTTCTGTTGTCCAGAGTGCCCTGGTACCCCCATGACAGGAAACACTATATCCCACCCCACTTCCATTAGATCTACTGAGCTGGGCCCTACGATGCCAGGCTTAACTCACTGGCTGAGAGTGATCAGCTAATGTCCATATTAAAGACATATTGAAAATAAGGTAAAATATTCTTGACAAAAAGACTTTCCACCAATCAGTGAATTAAGGGCAATAGAACGCCACATACACAGCATGTGACAGGCCAGGAATATTGTGGCAATTTATGTCAAACGCCAGATCATGTGAACGGATGTTGGGAGCACATAATGTTATGGCAGAAGAGGACTTTTCTGAGACAGTTAGGACATGTTTCGGTGATATAAAACCATCATCGGTGAGAGAGTTCATTGTACTGGATTGGACATTTCAAGGAATAATTGATTGTGACCCAGTAGTAGTCTTGGGAGGCCAAAATGCTTAGGGAGGAGCATTCTGAAGCACAACTGGATAAGGTGTCCTGGGTGACCACTAGTTCTTGCTTAATATGCTACAATATCTTTGGTTTATGAGAGTGTTTTACATTTAAATGGCCAACATTACTTTTTTCATTTGTATGTATGATGAGATTGCTGCCACGTGTATATGTTGTTTTAATTTTCCCCTACTGGTACATAAATTAAACATTTAGAATACTTGTATAAGGCATTATAACAAACCCTGCATCTAAGCCTATTTAAAAAGTGTCAAACATATTCTAAAGCCAAAAAACAATCACTAAGGTAACTGCAGATAGCAAAGTGACACCCGGTTTGTGTACCAGTAAGCAGCCATTCAATAAGTGGGTCTACAGCTTTCTCTAATCATAAAGTAATTACCAATAGGATACTGTTCTTTGGAATGAAATACATTCTTTCGATCGTAGATGTTTCTCCATAACACCGTTTTCTATAAATGAGCTGACAAAGTCTTATTAAAGACTTGTGGATCTAGTCATTAGTGTCTCACTTTAATTGGAGAACAATACTGTAACATTTAGGGCAACAAACTCAATATTGTGTTATTTTCAACACAAACAACTTTACAAGAGTGCATTGAGAGAAGAATAGAAATAGATGGTCAAATGTATATTCACAGAATCAGTTTGCTACATTCACTGGGGCGCAAGCTGGTTTTCATGTAATTAATGTGAGTTTAATGAAGTCCGTGTAGACAGAGAAGTGTGCGGATTGAATTGCTCCTTCACCCTTCTCTCTTTGTGTTTGCAGGCCTGGATTGCATAGTTGCCTGGTGACTATTCATAAGGACAGCAGCTGGTGCAGCTGAGCTAGAGTAAAACGTAAGTAACATCAGCTAAGAAATATATATATTTGACACCAATATATAACTGACCAAAAGAGAAAAAGTGCACAGTAGGTGAAGAAACACAGTTCATGACAGTGGTTCTTAAATGTTTGTTATTTAGCCACCCCTAATTAAGCATATATAGTAAAATTGCACTATGACCTAGAATAGGATCTCATACGATGGCTTAAAAACAGCACAGAGAGACCTGAAAACAATATGATCCTAAATCAGGCACAAAAAGTGTGTCATTTTAGAAACAGACTACGATAGTATTGACAACCTAATTGCCAAACCAATCTAAAACTACTCTAGAGTCATAACGTTAAAACTGCATTTTTGTATTCATTATTTTTATTATATATACACAATACACATTTGCGTTAAGAGGCCTAATAATTTCAATGTAGAAGATACAGGTTGCAGATTTTATACCTGAACTATTATTTAAACATAAGCACTGGGAATGGTGTTACAGTAAAGTGTTGGTCACCAGTCATAATGCATGCATTAAGGGTATTAATATATCGGATATTCTTACACATATAATGAACAAGGTTAAGCAGCTGTAATTGCTAGTTAGAGCTGATAATTACATGTTTCATTCTTACACTCTAGGCATCCTTGCAACTGTAAAACACATTGAGATGTAAAAATTGGATGTTTCTGTACCAGCACAAATTTTTACAAAACTGTAAAACAAACAGGCATTCCAGGAATTTCTTTCCAACACATATTATGTTGCAGATCCATGGCTTATTTTAGTATAAAATGGATTTCGTACAAGAGTTGCATTATATATGACTAAGTCACAAGTCACAAACTCAACTTCGCAAAGCTTAGGTGGTATGAGGGTTGGCTCCCCTTACCACCACAAAGAATCTATTTAAAAAGTCCAAGATTTACACAATTAATGGGATTAAAGCTATCCAAACGAGTTCCCTTATGTAAGCCTTTAATTATGTAATGTAAAAGTAAAATTAACAAATAGAGCTGCACAATTTGGCTGTATTCCTAACAGAGTGACACATTAATACAAAATATTGCATTATGTTAAATGGGCTTTAATCAAATACACACAAAATTGACATAACTACAAGGAATAAAAACAAAATTTTCAAAGGGAAAGTATGGCTATACTTAGTCTAAAGAATTAGATCAATTAATTTTCTATATGTTAATAGCATGCACATACATATTGAAGTTTATATAAAGAGAATCTGCCATTAATTATACAATTTTAGATATGAGCTACAGGAAAGCTACAACATGTTCTTCGATGAGAGAGAGTAATACAACAGATGTATCTGTAAATTATTACTTTTTTATATTTTAAAATTCTGTTTGTTTTCTCCCAAGTGCAAGGGAAACACTATATCTCACTGTCTGTGGTAGAGGGATATGCTTGTTATCCATCAATCTGGCCTGCTCTGTTCTGAATGTGTTCTTGTCTCTGAACTATCCACCAAAAGTAAGTGTGCACGCATTGCAGTGTCTTTGACACTCAAAGAACATAATAGCACAGGAAGCATATCATCACATTGTCACTAGCAAATAAAAAAAGCTGTCAATTTTAATAAAACAAAAAAGGTGTATTCGGTTGGAGAAATAACCGACACCTCTCTATTTTTACAACTGTACTTTGCAGGGAATATTTAATGAAATGTGTATTTGCTAAAGTAATTGTAATATCATGCCATCTATTGTCATTGATGGACCTTTGCAAAATAATATCTGATAATGTAAGGCTAATAAAAAAATTTAAAAAACCATCATTTACCTTTTTATATCTACATATTGTGCAGACACAACATTAAAAGACCACTTAAGTGGTCTGGGGGGCAGTGGCCCTGTCATTTTATCCCTTCAAACTAAAACATTGGCGTTTAGAAGATACAGCAATGTTTTCATTGGATGGTTAAATCTGCCCCTAGTGGGTACAATCCCAACAGTCACTAGAGGAACTTGAACTTAACCCAAGTTTAATTCAACATCAAATGCAGCTCTTGCATTCAATTCTTCCCTATGAGAAGCATTTGAGGAGTGGGGAAAGTAATGGAAACCATGTTAAAGGATAGAATTGTTGAACATCTAAAATCACATGGATTTCAAGATCAGAGACAACATGGGTTTACGTCAGGGAGATCATGCCAAACTAATCTTATTGATTTTTTTATTGGGTAACTAAAATAATAGTTCAGGGTGGTGCAGTAGACATTGCTTACCTAGATTTCAATAAGGCTTTTGACACTATTGCACATTGAACGCTTATCAATAAAATGCAATCTTTAAGTTGGGATTCCAATATTGTTGAATGGGTAAGGCAGTGGCTGAGTGACAGGCAACAGAGGGTTGTAGTCAATGGAGTATATTCAAAGCATGGGCTTGTCACCATGTAGCCAATCTCTTTAATATTTTTTATTAGTTATATTGCCAACGGTCTTGATGGTAAGGTATGTCTTTTTGCTGATGATACTAGGATATGTAACAGGGTTGATGTTCCAGGAGGGATAAGCCATATGACAAATGATTTAGGTAAGCTAGAAAAATGGTCAGCATTGTGGCAGCTGACATTTAATGTAGATGAGTGCAAGATAATGCATCTTGGATGTAAAAAACCCAAGGGCAGTGTATGGAATATTTGATAGCGTCCTAACCTCAACATCTGAGGAAAGAGATGTAGGGGTGATTATTTCAGATGGCCTAAAGGTAGGCAGACCATGTAATAGAGCAGAAGGAAATGCTAGCAGAATGTTTGGTTGGATAGGGAGAGGTATTAGCAGTAGAAAGAGGGAAGTGCTCATGCCATTGTAGAGAACACTGGTGATACCTCACTTGGCATACTGTACGCAGTACTGGAGACCGTATCTCCAGAAGGATATTGATACTTTAGAGTTCAGAGAATGGCTACTAAACTGGTTTATGGATTGCAGGATAAAACTTACAAGGAAAGGTTAAAGGATCTTAACATGTATAGCTTGGAGGAAAGACGAGACGGGGGGGGGATATGATAGAAACGTTTAAATACATAAAGGGAATCAACACAGTAAAGGAGGAGACCATATTTAAAAGAAGAAAAACTACCACAACAAGGGGACAGTCTTAAATTTTATGGCAAGACAGGAGGCTTCATATTTGCTTATCTTTCTTTACTGAACCTCCCAGCAGCAAAGAAATGGTTAACAATAGTATAATATCCAGAAGTATTACTTTACTGAGAGGGTAGTGGATGCATGGAATAAGCATCCAGCTGAAGTGGCAGAGGTTAACACAGTAAAGGAGTTTAAGCATGCACGGGATATGCATAAGGCTATCCTAAATATAAGATAAGTATTTAAAAAAAAAAAAAAAAAAATTCAGCCTTTGCCCCTCTATGTCTTCTTGTTGTGGTAGTTTTTCTTCTTTTAAATATAGTCTCTTCTTTTACTGTGTTGATTCCCTTTATGTATTTAAATGTTTAGGAATACATGAATCAGCTGAATCTCACACTGACTCAATTTCCAAGAAAAAAAATGGTAGATTATAGATAGATAGTAGATGGTAAATTTCTGCTTTATTTATTTAAAACAAATATAGGGATTTGAATGCATTATCTACATAATTTTGTAAAAATCCTTGCTCTTTTTAGATTTGAGTCAGCTACAAAAGGAATCACAAGAAATAAAATATATCTTATACAAACTGATCAAAGATGATGGTAAACCACAGTGGCCTGAGACAATGAAAAGATGCAATAAATAACTTAATAAATTACAATAAGTATGAGATGTCATATTGCACACTTTTATTAAGCGTATCTAGAAACCCTTTGTAAAATGTACCATATAGGCAATCAAAAGAACAAAAAAAATAAAACCTCAACTAAATGAAACTGGGAACTGAAAGCACTTACGCCATTACTAGACACTTTCTTGACAGTGTCTAGTAGTGATGTGAAACGCGTACAGTTCCCAGTTATATTTTTTTTGTTCTCCGCCCCCTCTCTTTTTTTCCATGCCCAGTGCAAAGATGTGTTAGCTACAATTCCTATCACTGCTGCTTATTATAGTGGGCTTGCGCTGTTAGTAAAAATGTAATAAATCTGCACTAGGTGGATAATCGTTCTCGAAATATCTCTTATTTTTATTCCATTAAATTTGTTTGAGAGCGGTAATTGCCATTTAGCAAGAGTTTTTAGGATATGAGGTAGATTCTTCAAAAGCCATTCCTTTCATAAGATCTGATGAGTGGAACTGCATCTAAAATCAATGTATTGACAGTTACATATTGCTGTGGATATGCTAATCAACGTACATTGTAAACCATTAGAACAAAACAGTCGCATTTAAATCATAATATTTTTATATTTTTTTCTGGAAACGTTGTTTCAAGCCTGCTATAGTAAAAAATAAATAGGAGTTTTCGTAGGAATTATAATAGGGGTAAATCCAGATATCCTGATTGTGAACTTCTGTAATGAGGTGTTGCCCAATTGATAACACATACTTAGCATCTCAGTGTTTTTAGAACACTCAAAAAAAGAGAGTCAATAAGTCTCCAGTCTGGGATGATGCTATTGATTTGTAAGATCATTTTTTTTTCCTTGCCCCCTATCCCCAGTTTTCAGCACTTGTTTAAGAATTACCAAGCATTATAGAGCATTAGTAGTCTATTATATTTTACTACATTAACTTTTCTAAGTCAAGGACTAGAAAACAGGTGCAAGGTGTCTGTAAAAGAGAAAGGTGAAAATGGACCCCTCATCTCAGCTGAAAGCAGCTATGCTCTCTGGATCATAGAAAAAAAACCAAAAAAAAACCCCACAAAGCTTATTGCAAAATGCACTATGAATTTGCAGCCTGCGGGATACAAAGGAACCTTTTTATTAACAAAGTCATGCTCACATAATAAAAATGCATTCTCTGGTTACAAAGCAAGAAAAATCAGTCCACTGCTGACACTGACCTACAGGCCGACACTAAAATTTAGCAATAGCTATTAAAGAGATCAATGTAGAAAGTCAGTTTAAACATATGGAAAAGGAGACTGCAATCCAAGAGAATACAGTAACCAAACAAAGCATTTTTTTATTTTTATTTTAATATTCTTTATTTTTGAACATGCATGAGGTTACATTGCATCCTGCATTGCCACAACAGCAAATGCAAGGATTTGCGGTACATTCAATGATACATGTGAAATGATAATGAGGACTACTAGAGATAATACTTGCATCATTTAGGAAAACAGCATGAAATTTTGTATTTAACGATTAAGCTAACAACAGTTTTGTAGATACAACATGAGTTAATCAAGGTAATGTTGACTTAACTAGTGGCTCATTTTTAAGTTAGAGATCATGCAGGCTAAACGTAAACAGGCTTAGTTAATTATGTAGCTATACAGTCGTTTCAGTAACTTCAGTTAAGATGTAGTGTGGGATAAGAGTGTACGTTGCTGTAAGTGCCATATACATTGTGCTAACTTGCGGTCACTGGTAGATACAACTTATAGATTAACTTTTATACTATGTCTAGGTAGGTCATATTATAAAGACTAGTGGGGTTAGACAATGCGGGGCAACTGTCACCCTGATGGATCGTAGTTCCCAGAGCTGCCTCCGTGTGGGGAAATTCGGTATCCTGGTGGTCCCAAGGCCACTCAGACAGGGGTAGTGTCACATATTCATCCGCTTATAGAAATGTGGTTAATGACATTTACTGTCCACACAGGAAAAGTTGTGCCGAGCAGCAACCTAATCCACAGAAGGGTTAATGCTGAGCAGCAATTATGCAAATGAAACCTGGTAACTGACTTTGGGGTCAAAGGCTGGTTACAGCCTATCAGAACTAAAGGAGGGGTATTTAGGCCCAGTTCTCAGCCTGCTCAGTGCCCTGTCGTGGTTTCCCTTGTGGTTGTCTGAGAGCGCGTTCCTGTTTATAGTTTTCTACCTGGTTTTTGACTTTGGCTTTGTTTATTGACTTGTGTATATTCTGGCATCCTGACTCCTGGCTTTCCTCATCGCGGTGTCCCTTTCTGTGTTCCCTGACCTCGGCTAGTATTTTTGACTATTCTTTGTACGTTAAATCCGGCCATTCTAAGGACCGGTAATACGTTACTTATTTGTCATCCGTGCTGTACAGTTCTACGTGCTGGATCAAACAGTAATCCTGACAGGTAGTCCCGCTTTTATCCGATACCTCTTCTGCTGTGTTCAGATGGTAGGGGGCAAATGTCAGAGCAGGCATCAGAGTGTGCTTTGTCCTCATAGAGTCCTGCATTGTTCTTTGGGTGCATTCGAGTTGCAGCCTTGGCGCTTGCCGTCTTCCCTTGTCTGCAGGCTGATGTCCGCCATGTGTGAGAGCTGGGCTTTGTCCATGGGAGTCCGCCGCTTTCGGGGTAATCCTGTTATAGGCTGAGTGGTAAGTGAGTGCTTCCGACAGAGGTGTCACGCTGGGCAGCTGGCGCAGTTACCCCAGGCGGGAATGGTTGCTGTTAGGAGTTCCGCCCTACCGGTACAGCCGCAATCTCCCGCTTGTTCTGGTCGCCCATGCATCTAGTTGCTGGCTTGGGTGATAAGGGTAGGCTCTGTGTTTGCCGTTTCCCTGTGTGGTGGGATCGAGAGGTGGGAGCTGTTTCTGGTGTGATCGCGAGGAGGTGGGAGGTGTTCCCCTTGTTGTCAGCGTGTAAGACGCCTGCCATTTTGGAGGCAGCGGTCGGGCTTCTCAGCCTCAGTCGGAGTCACATTCAGGGCCACAGGGTGAGGACCGGGATCATAGGGGGGGGGACGGAGCCGGATCCGCGCAGGTCTGTACCGTTGGTCTGGTTCTGTGGTGCAGGATAGTGAGGCAGCGGCCGTCTGCCTCACTCACAGCCAGAGAAGGCCCGGGTTGGGGCAACAAGTTTTTCTCCCCCAGGGGACCGAAGCTCAGTGAGCCAGCCTCTCTCCGGATCCAGCAGTCCCTCGGCTCTGGGTATCTTCGCGGTTGGTCAGGTTTTAGGTGGTAATCAGCGTTTTTAGCAGTGATTATGTATTGTGTTACTGGAGCTGGTCTGACTTGCGACTGTCCAGCCTGGCGGTCCGGCCCTGCCCCCCAAACAAAGCATTTTTATTAAACAATTAGATTACACTAAAGGCACTTCCTGAAACCGAACGGTCTTTTGGTCGCCTAACTGACACTGGATGTCCTCAAACTCTGCATGAGGACATCCAGCCAATGTCAGGAAAAAATCCCATAGGAAAGCATTTAAAAAAATAAAATTTAAATAAATAATATATATATATATTTATATAAATAATTTAATCTATTTTGTGCATAACCTACTGTGTACTATCCTACGAGAACACACCTGTGCTCTGTGGAGGGGGGAGGGGGTTTAACCCTTAAACCCTTAACTGTTAGAAGATATTTTTGGTCATTAATGGGAAACTATAGGCTAGGAATACAAAATAGTGCCCCCCTCGCTTGTGCCTCCCCCCTTCCCCCCCGTCAGGCCAGAACCCTTTTGTTCTTTACCTAAATCCAGCACCAATATCCCTTGACACTGGGTCAGGCCCACCTCCGCTCCTTAGGACAACCCCATATTGTTTGAAGCCATTAAAAAATGACAAGACTCTTTCCCACTGAAGATTAAATCAGCGCTTTCCTATGGGGTTTTACCAGACGCTGGATGTCCGCATGCATATCGTGAGGACATCCAACGTCCGTTAGACAACCAAAGGTTGCCTAACAACTGGTAGACCGCCACTAGAGGTGGAGTTAACCTTTCAAGGTAATTAATGCAGTTTATCAACAGGGGCACTGAACCCAGACCACTTCAATAAGCTGAAGTGGTCTGGGTGATTATATTGTCCCTTTGAAGTTACCCTGACTGTCACCCCCCATAACATTTCATGCTGCAGTTAGATCTATGAGCCTGATGATATGTAAGTAGTGATGTCCCGAATGGTTCGCCGAACGGTGCCGCAGACTCCAGTCAGCGGACACATTCCAGCCAATCAGCAGCAGACCCTCCCTCCCAGA